ATATATGTGTATATATATATATATATATATATATATATATATATATATATATATATATATATATATATATATATATATATATATATATATATATATATTATACATATATATATATATATATATATATATATATATATATATATATATATATATATATATATATATATATATATATATATATATATATATATATATATATATATATATATATATATATATATATATATATATATATATATATATATATATATATATATATATATATATATATATATATATATATATATATATATATATATATATATATATATATATATATATATATACATATATATATATATATATATATATATATATATATATATATATATATATATATATATATATATATATATATATATATATATTGTGTATATATATATATATATATATATATATATATATATATATATATATATATATATATATATATATATATATGAATCAAAGCAATATATGAAAGAAAACTTGGCAACTTTAACAGATCACTATGAAAACCATTCCAAACAAAGCTTGACCAGCGATTTATACCGACGGAGGAGGTCGTCATCATCGGCGTCGTTTCGGGGGAAGAAGTGTCGAGGGCCTGTCCGAGGCTCGCCGAGCTCCGCGACTCGAAACTCTCTCTCGGGCGCAGAGGCTCAGCAGGGCTTTCCGGCTCCGCGTCGCCATGTCGGAGGGAGCTCTGGATATCATCAAGTTAACGCAACAACAACCCATTCGGGAGGAACTTTGGATTAGGCTCACGTCGTCCCGCCACGCCAGGGAGCCGGCTGTGGCACTGTGCTTGTGATGGTGCTGTGCTGAGCTACGTGAGGCCCATGTCCTGAGGCTGTGCTGTGCTGCGAGACAATTACGATGTGCTTTGATTACTGCACTGGGGACATGTGCCTGTGATTGTGCAGTGCTTTTGGTGTTGTTGACCCACTTGGTTCAGTGCAATGCTATACAGTGTATTTGTACACATGTACATGGATGGTGCTACAAATGAATTGTAATACACCTGTACATGTGCTGTGCTATAAGTGCTGGTATTTACCTGTGCTGTGCTACAAGTACTGTGCTTGTTGGTGATGTGTGCAGTGCTGTTATCTGCACGTGCAGATGCAGTGCTTGTCTGTGGTCACATTACTGTGCCGGTGCTGTGTCCATATGTCAGTGCTCGTGCAGTGCGACAGGTGCTGAGTGAGACAAGGTGCGTGCTTTGTTACTTGAAAGTTGATGCGATGATGTAAGTGGGTGTGTTACCTGTGCAGTAGAGTAGCCTTGCTGTGAGTGCGTGCCAGTGCGGCGTGGTGATCGTGTTTCGGCCGTGAAACGATTGTGTGAAAACATGTCACCCTCACGTTAATAGATTTTGTTACACTTCATTCGTTCGTTCAGCTCACGAGCTTGATCATATATATAAATATGTACATGGCTCAGCTCCAAGTACATCTAAGTGCCGTAGGGAAACGCTTGTGCATACATGGTGTTGCAGTGCATAAAGAGTGCGTCTGAGTGCCTTAACTGTGCCAAGTGCGAGTGCTTTAGTGGCCCTGGCGACAGAGGCACTTAGGTGCGAGTGCCACGTGGGAGTCGGAGCCAGCCCAGCGTACAGATGGAAGTGACTTGAGAAAAAGCGAGAGAAAAAAACACGACTTTTGCCTAATTCCTTTCACGTGTTGATATTACGCTGATATTTTTCTCCTCGCACTTCTGTTGCTAGAGGTGTTTTGCGGTCCTTTGCAAATGCGCTCTCTGCAACAGTCTTTGTTTTCTGTTGTGTTTCATCCTTCCTCCTGCTCTTTGTGGGTTTATATCCCATACTCCTTTGTCCACGAGACGAGCCTAATGTAGATTTATTCTTATTAATTGTAAGCTATCTTTTTGTGTAAATAAGGCCTCTTATAAAGGCATAGACGCTGATTCATGCTTAGCCTAGCAAAAGAAGAAATATATAATTTTGATTATACATTATGATTATTGTTGAGCATGGGTCGTCTGCCTAAGCTGCCATGCCAACGCCTTGAAGAAATTTCTCGAAGCCTCCGCAGATTCCAGGAAAGTCCTGTGCACCTCCGCGCCCGGCCGCCTCCTCCGCCGGCCCTCCTCCCGCCCGTGCGGCCTCTTCCTCCTCCTGCGACTTCCCCCTCAGCCTACGCGAATGGCTCTCCCTCCCCCTGCCCTACGCCCCCTCCCCCCTGCCCCTCCTCCTCCGGGCAGGGCCTCCTCACAGGCGCTGCTACTGGGCAGACCGGGGCCCGGTGCTGGCCGGGGAGGTAGGGGCGGTGCGAGACGTGGTTGGGGGCGTGACCGTGATGGGGAGGATGTCCAGGGGCGTGGCAGGAGTGGGCGCCGAGGCCACGCCCGCGTAGTTGATGCCGCCCCCGTCGCTCTCCGACCGCTTGAGTTCCCGGATGATCTGGTCGTGCTCGTCCAGGAGGCGCTCGAGCTCCGTCAGCCGCGCCGCCGCCTCCGT